TCATATTATCTCATGGTTTTAATCATAATGGAGCAGATAGATGTGTTTACTCTAAGTTTACTAAAGACTATGGTGTAATAGTTTGTCTCTATGTTGATGATATGTTAATCATAGGAACAAATTTGCAAGGAGTAAATGATACTAAGAGATACTTGACTTCTCAATTTAAAATGAAAGATTTGGGAGAAGTCGATACTATCTTAGGGATTAAAGTTAAGAAACATAGTGGGGGTTTTGCTTTGTGCCAATCTCATTACATTGATAAGATTCTCTCCAAGTTTAACCACTTAGGAATTAAAGAAGCTAATACCCCATTTGATGTTTCCAACAAGTTGGCAGAAAATTCGGGTAGATCCGTTAGTCAATTAGACTATGCAAGTGCAATTGGTAGTTTAATGTATGTTATGTATTGCACTAGACCTGATATTGTCTTTTCTGTATGCAAACTTTCAAGATATACAAGTAATCCTAGTACCGAACATTGGAGGGCTATTGGAAGAGTTCTCGGTTATCTTAAAAGGACAAAGTCATTTGCCTTGTTTTATAACAAATTCCCTTCGGTACTAGAAGGCTATACTGATGCTAGTTGGATAACTAGTATCAATGATAACAAATCAACGTCTGGTTGGATTTTCACTTTAGGTGGAGGAGCTATATCATGGGTTTCTAAGAAACAGACGTGTATTACTTATTCTACAATGGAATATGAATTTATTGCATTGGCAGCGGCAGGTAAAGAGGCGGAATGGCTAAGAAATTTATTGTTAGCTATAAAGTTGTGGCCACAACTGATGCCAGCAGTCTGTTTGCATTGTGATAGTCAAGCAACTATGTTTAGGGCTTTTAGCAAGATTTATAATGGTAAATCTAGACATATTGCTTTAAGACATGAATATATTAGACAACTACTTTCTGATAGTATAATCACAGTTGTCTATGTCAGGTCTGGTAAAAATCTGGCTAATCCATTAACTGAAGGACTCTCGAGAGATATGATTAAAAGCACTACGAGTGCAATGAATCTTAAACTATTCTAAATTTGTCACTAATAATGGAAACCTTACCTTTCTTGTTGCTTAGCAATTTTAAAGGTTTAAGTGGTAATAACAAGTTATTAGTGATTGTTAGCAAGCACAAGGTTCTTATGGAAAGGAGGTTGAATATTAATTATTCTTAATTAAGACTTTGTGTTCGGTTTTTGAACAAGAAAATTCAAATTTTTGAAATTTTAACAGCTCTTCACCTATGTGAACACAAGAAGTGGTGTCTCTTCTATCAAGAGTTTGGAAATAAAACTTTTCTAAGTGTTCATGAAACTAGGAGGTAGCACAAGGTCATAATATGGTGTTAAAGCTCATGGTGAACACATTTAGAGAAACTTGTAAGTTTATGTGTATGATATTTCCAATCTTCTTGTATAAAATCAAGGTTTAATAAATTTAAATAACCATTGATTTTGACAAGGTTTTGAAATGTTTATACTAATAGCAAGTTTAAGTCGAAAGACACCTTCTATATGCATAAACTTTAGTTGATTTTGATTGCTTACATTACAATCTAAGTGGGGGATTGTTAGAAATAGTTAGTAATGTAAGATATCACATATTGGAAGAGTTGAAAGGGAGTGTAAGAGTTTAAAATGAGAAACACACCAAATTTTATAATTTTGAATGGTGGAAAATTTTAGAGGAAAGCTCCAAATATTTCAAATCAATGTGTCTTGTTTAGACTTTAAATAAAATAATATTTTAAGTCAAAAGATGGGCACTTGGGACATCTTGGGCTTGAACTCTATAAATGATTAATTATTTTTGTATTAATTAATGTCTCTTGGCCTAAGAGTTGTGTCTCCTCTTTAACTCTCTTTGGCCCAAGAGTTATGTCTCTTTTTTACATCTCTTTGGCCCAAGAGTTGTGTCTCCCCTTACATCTCTAAGGTATTATAAATACATGTACAGATCCTTCAATACACATATATACAAGTTTGGCATATATATACAAGTCTCTAAGGTATTATAAATACCTGTACAGATCCTTCAATACATCAATACATTCTGTTCTTAAGAGAATTCTAAAGTTTGCTATCTAAAATTCTATTTGGCTTTGTTAATCTTAGAAAAATTTGTCATAAACCCAGCAGCAACATAGTGGAGGCATAATTTCCTTAAGAAGAATGAATTCACGATCAAAGTCTTCTAATCTGTTAAAGTTATTTTGCTAACAGGTTTGGCACTACCACAGCTACAAGGAGGCGATTACGATCACGCTCTTCTTGGATGACAAGGCCTACATTGATACTGGATAACTCTTCCTTTTGGCGAAATCTCAATGTGGCGTTATCTTAAGTGATGTGATAGTTTTGGCTAAATTTATTTAATTAATTATGAATTTGAGCATGCAGGATTTGATTAAGCGCAAAATATTATGGGATTGGAGCTTAAACTGTCATAGAATTTTTTTTTTTTTTTTTTTGTCAATCGCCTAGGGAAAATTAGGACATGATTTCATGGGAAGTAAGCTTCATTTCCATTCATTTGATTACTGTAACATTGAAATAAACTATTTGAAGGCTTTTTTCTATTTGATTTGTATTATTTCCTTTAGCTTTATGAATCTAGATTATGGTTTCTTCAATTGTATTTCAAAATAGTGAATTTTATATATTATAAAGCGTCTTTAGGCACGGATCCATCGCTAATATGTATATATCAAATGATATATAAATAAATAGACAAATAACATATATTTCAACACACATAATTAATTTTTTATCCACTTTTGGAGGATTGATTTTGAAGAGTTGGAAGAAAAGTTTATTTATCAACTTTTCCATCCTTCATATTTTCATTTCTTACCAAACATGAAGTTTTATATATCCCTCCAATTTTGTATTCTTCCAATTTCTATCATACCAAATGAAGTATAAAGGTGTAAAACAATAGTGTCGTTGTAGGCTATCAAATGTCTAAAGAAATTCATAATATGAGATTGAAAAAACATTTTGGTTCGTAGTTCCACTGGCAGAGCGGCATGGGGTTCTAGGGTGGGCACTGCCTCACCCGAAATTTTTTTAAAAAAATTATACGTATATTTATATTTATGTATTTTTAAAAATATACAAGTTTTTTTTACTTTTGTCCGCCTATAACTTTCTTACTTCAATTGTTTAGTCATTTTTATTGAATTAAGGCATTCTACGTGTGACCTTAATATTCACTTTCATATTTTTTTAATTTAATTTTATTTGTTTGAAAGAGAAAATACTTACAATTAACATTTAATTGACTTTTATTTTTCTATGAGAACCCGTCTCTATTTTTGTTTGACAATTAATTGCAACATTTATTATATGTCACTTAAATTTTAAATTTTTTTACTTGGTTTGGTTCTTAAATTTTAGTTTAGTGACTTTACTATTTTTATATCTCAGTGATAATGTTTGGAAAAAAGTTTATCGAATAAGTATATTAGATAGTTAATAGATAATTGGTAGTTTTTCACTTACACAATCGTAATTAATCTTACATTTTTACAATGGTGATACTGAGTGATTTTTATATACATACACAATATACATTATTTTTTAGCCATTTTATATTAAACGAATTTGATGTATCAAATATGTTATGATAAATATAAATGTATTATTTTATTGTGATTGATTGAGAAAAAAAATTAGAGTATGTAATTAAAGTATTCCACCTAATGAAAATTCTAGTTAGAGAAATTTTCAAGTAGTGTGTTCTAGATCAATTTTCTATTATGTATGTATGTATGTATGTATGTATTGTTGTTACATTTGCTAGTCAATAAATACTAATAGAAAGTGTCGCTGAAATATTAAATAATCGAATGGATTTATTTGGACTTGTGACAATTGAGAGTATGTTGACAAAACTTTTCTTCCTAAAAATTTTATTGTGGTCATTTTCAATTTAATACTATATTTTACTACTTAATCCAAATATGATATTACTGGTATAATAATAAACCTACACTTTATCCTAACCTTGATCCAAACATGGTTTACATGTTACTGGATTAAATAATATACCATAATACAATTGGAAAGGCTTGGATTGGAATTTATTCTACAATCCCATTCTTTTTTGTACCTGAACCAAACATTTATTAGTATATGGATATCAAGATCACTACTCAACCGATCCCATAGAAAGAAATGCTAGCATGTACACCTTCCCAGGCAACCTTTTCTCTGCTACCTGAGAACTCCTTCCTACCAGTTTAGAATTTATATTTGACCTCCAATGGAAAGAGTAACTATGCACACTGCTTTCTTCCCCTCCAGTATTCTGAAACTCTATTTATCAAATTTTGATGCCCTTCAATCAAGGGGATTGAAAAATGGTAGTAGGACAAATTTGATGCAGACCCATCATTTGACATTATTCACAGAAAGTAGCAGCCCTCTACTTCGAACCCACAATCTGGCATTTTTTTGGCTCTAGTGTGATGGACTAAAAATTGCAACAAGTTAAACAGTTGATCTATACTAAAACTGAGATCACAGACTATTCAGATCATATTGGATCAGAACCAACTCTACCATTGAATACAAAAATTTGCAAAAATAAAATCTATCAATTTGATCATGCATTCCGTACAATAGTTTCCGCTTTACTCTACCTAATGTAGATAATAATGCCACGTAAATAATATTTAACACAGGGTGCAGAAAAAAACAGGAATTACTGTGCATCAACAAAGATAAATGCCAACTTGTATCATATGACCGCAAAGCAAATGGGAAAATCAGATCATTCTTGGAGAAGATGAACCAAACAAGAAAATCCAGGAAAAAAAAAAAAGACATGAAGTCTCCTTTTTGACATAGATTGAGCTCAAAACTCATTGAAGATCACGCAATCTCCTACGCCTGCCAGAGAAAGCAGAATTATTAAAACATATGGTAACCAATTTAGATCATAATGAATCCAGCATATATTGCCTGCAATTCTAACGCAACCAGGTAAGCCTACCTTGTTAGCAATGTTGTTGGAGAGCCAGTCCAGCCCCTCGTACAGCCCTTCACCTGAGGTGGCACATGTGCTCTGGATATACCTGCAAGCNTTAATCCAAATATGATATTACTGGTATAATAATAAACCTACACTTTATCCTAACCTTGATCCAAACATGGTTTACATGTTACTGGATTAAATAATATACCATAATACAATTGGAAAGGCTTGGATTGGAATTTATTCTACAATCCCATTCTTTTTTGTACCTGAACCAAACATTTATTAGTATATGGATATCAAGATCACTACTCAACCGATCCCATAGAAAGAAATGCTAGCATGTACACCTTCCCAGGCAACCTTTTCTCTGCTACCTGAGAACTCCTTCCTACCAGTTTAGAATTTATATTTGACCTCCAATGGAAAGAGTAACTATACACACTGCTTTCTTCCCCTCCAGTATTCTGAAACTCTATTTATCAAATTTTGATGCCCTTCAATCAAGGGGATTGAAAAATGGTAGTAGGACAAATTTGATGCAGACCCATCATTTGACATTATTCACAGAAAGTAGCAGCCCTCTACTTCGAACCCACAATCTGGCATTTTTTTGGCTCTAGTGTGATGGACTAAAAATTGCAACAAGTTAAACAGTTGATCTATACTAAAACTGAGATCACAGACTATTCAGATCATATTGGATCAGAACCAACTCTACCATTGAATACAAAAATTTGCAAAAATAAAATCTATCAATTTGATCATGCATTCCGTACAATAGTTTCCGCTTTACTCTACCTAATGTAGATAATAATGCCACGTAAATAATATTTAACACAGGGTGCAGAAAAAAACAGGAATTACTGTGCATCAACAAAGATAAATGCCAACTTGTATCATATGACCGCAAAGCAAATGGGAAAATCAGATCATTCTTGGAGAAGATGAACCAAACAAGAAAATCCAGGAAAAAAAAAAAAGACATGAAGTCTCCTTTTTGACATAGATTGAGCTCAAAACTCATTGAAGATCACGCAATCTCCTACGCCTGCCAGAGAAAGCAGAATTATTAAAACATATGGTAACCAATTTAGATCATAATGAATCCAGCATATATTGCCTGCAATTCTAACGCAACCAGGTAAGCCTACCTTGTTAGCAATGTTGTTGGAGAGCCAGTCCAGCCCCTCGTACAGCCCTTCACCTGAGGTGGCACATGTGCTCTGGATATACCTGCAAGCAATGCACAAAAACAGTTGTCACAAGTGGACTAGAAATCACAAAGAGGGAGAGAGATGTTTTATAGCAAACCTACCAGTGACGTTGGCGGAGAGAATGAAGACCAAGCTTGTCAGTGATCTCAGCAGCATTCATGGCGTTAGGAAGATCTTGCTTGTTTGCAAATACAAGGAGCACAGCCTCCCTTAACTCATCCTTTGCAGGCATCAAACAAAATCAATATCAATATTAATTTTTATCTGATATGTAAATATACACCATTATAAAATCCTAAACCTAAACCATTTTAGCAACCAATTAAACTCAGAAGCAGAGTCATTTTAGCCTTAGATTAGTTTTATTCTGTTCAATCAAAGCACGTACCATTATGATGGCAGTGATGGTACATAATTAGGATGAGGAGTAATAAATCAATGTGTATATTAAGTGTCAAGCAAGTAACATTAGTAGGTCTAAAGATGATCATCATCGCCAAAATAATATAGTTTCCACAATTTCATCAATTTCTGCTAATCCATATATTTTATAAACCATTTCTTAGTTCTAGTCCCCAAGGCCAAATGCAACCTGACTTCAATCATGATTTGTTCCTGTGACTGTAGACACAGAATATTGCCAAGGGGGAAATGAGACTAAGTAATTGTTGGGTTATCTCATTACCTCATTCAACATCCTGTGCAGCTCGTCCCTTGCCTCAACCACACGATCCCGATCATTACTATCGACCACAAAAATAAGCCCTTGAGTGTTTTGGAAGTAATGTCTCCACAAAGGTCGAATCTGGTGTTGCCCCAAAATCAGAATGTTCAATATATTAGAATCAGTAAATTCAAACTTCAGAAATCTGAATCCTTTTAAATACATAAGATCACTCGTAAAGAGCAAAATTAAGCCTGCCCCACAAATCCAATGCAAAATCAAAGGAAACTTAGGGGTCGTTTGGTAAAATTTTCGTTTTCGTGTCTTCAAAACAATAAAAAACAGAGACAATTTTTGTCTCTGTTTTGTGATAAACACTGAAACAAAAAACATGTTTGGGTGTCATTTTTATCTATCAAATTATGAGAATAAAAAACAAAAAACATATTTGGTAACTACTTCATGTTTTATCCTAAATATGCTTTATAATTCAATCAGCAATTCAATCAATTCCAAATAGTAATTTAATTCCAAATAACTATTCAATCAATCCCAAATTGCAATTCTATCAATCCCAAATGATAATTAATTTCCAAATGATAATTAATTTCTAAATCGCAATTGAACAATTTCAAATGACATTTCAATCGGCAATTAATCCAAATACAACACATATACACACAGAACATAATACACACACACACACTCATCTATCTCTCACACACAAACACACACACACACACACACACACACACACATGCACAGATCTGTGTAGCAACATAAAACACACATAGGTTCGTCACTCACTCATTCACACACACACACACACACAGACCTGTCACTCTCTCACACACACAGATCTTTGTAAATATGCACAGATCTGTGTCTCCGTTTCTGGGTTTCACAGATAGCAAGCAAGAGAAAGAGAGGGTTTCGGTTCATCTTCGTCGTTGAGAACTCCAAAGAAGAGAGAGTCAGTTCGTCTTCGTTGTTTAGAGCTCCGAAGAAGAGAGAGTCGTTGAGAGTGGAGACGAGAGATAGTCAATCTGTGTGGAGGAGAAGAGAGAAAAAAAGACCCCTATTTATACTTTGAGAAATGAACGAGTCTTTTGTGCGTAACAAGACTCGAAGTTGAGACCTCATTTAATCAAGAAACACGTGTTTTGTGTTTTGCGTGTTTCTTGAAACACAAATTTTTTGTTCTCATTTTTTTGTCTTTGTCTCCAATACAACAAAAACAAAACAAAGCAAAACTAAAAACAATTACCAAACATATTTTTGTTTTCATTTTTGACAAAAATTGAAAACAAAAACACAAAACACGGGACAAAAACGTTTGCCAAACAACCCCTTACTCTTCTAAGAGAACAATGACTCCACATACAATCCATATCCATAAACATAGAAGAA